TGTGTGTGTGTGTGTGTGTGTGTGTGTGTGTGTGTGTGTGCAGGCTGTCTATCACTGCCGCCTTGCCTGAGCACCTGGCGTCACTGGCATCATTGGCATGTCGTTTCCCGCCCCCCCCTTGGGACACTTGGCAAGCCATGACATTCAAAGGGCCAAGAACCTGTCCCACCCACACCACTTTTGGGTCTCTTGTGGGAGCTCATGCGAGACCCGGTAATCACTTTGATAAGTCCGTCCTTCGCACACCGGCCATTTGTCAAAACCTCGCCCACATGCCTGGTGTGTCTTTTTTAAGGGTTTTTTTTTTTTTTTTTTTTTTTTTTTTTTTTTTTTTTTTTTTTTTTTTTTTTTTTTTTTTTTTTTTCTCCGGACACTTGGCCAGCCAGGACTTTCGATGGGCCCGCGACCCGTCCCACCCACACTGCTTTTGGGTCTCACGTGGGAGCATCATGCGAGACCCGATAAGATAGAGCAAACAGTTCAAAACACACACACAGCACCGCACACAGAATTTGAGGACATTGCAGGAGGGTTCTATTTCATGGACAATGATCTTGTGGTGTGCATTGGTCCTGCATGAGATGTGCAGAATACGGTGCCGGGCGAATTGCAGCTGATATTACTGGAAGGGTGCTTCTGATTTTTGGTCGATACATTGGTACATTAGCAAGTTCCTTGTTTCAAGGACATGTTTGCAACAGAGGGTCTCGCTCCACTACACTAGACTCAAGAAAACAGCTACCAGAGGGCAATACTCTCGACAGACTCTCTAACACTCGGAAGTAGTGTCTTGTGTAATGGAGTGAGGAAACCACTAGCCAAATCTGCAAATTGAGAATGAATATTTCACTACAACATGGAAACATACATGGGGCCACACTCTTGACTGTCACAGCATCTGGATTCCACAAAGCAACACGGCCAGCCTGGTTTGTCCACCCAGACTTGCCACTCTCGAATTTCAGCGCTCTCTCAAGACCAGCACGGAGGACCGTAGAGGAAACGGGTGCTGCAGCCGGGGAACTCTAGATGAGTAGAAAGTGCAGGTCTAGCACGGAGGACCGTAGAGGAAACAGGTGCGGCAGCCGGGGAACTCGTGACAGCACTCGACACACATGTTGGAGTTGTCTAGTGTAAGTGGAGCGAGGCAGAACTCTCGAATTTTCGAGAGTCTAGTGTAGTGGAGCGAGACCCAAAGACCCCCCAAGTGTCCAAAGGGTCTTGTTAAAGGACCGGTACATCTGTGGCATTTTGTACAAGGTGGATTCCCACTGTGCACCAAACTTTGCCGAAACACCAGTGCAGCATTTTTGTTTCAGTTTTGGCTGGCGCTGCCAGCCATTTTGGCCCGGATGCCTCGAGGCTCCAATTTTTTGGGACATTCTCAAGTTGGCTGGGGCCATGTACCAGTGGTTTAAGTTCAAGCTGTGCAATGATCGTTCTCAATTTCAATCGCTCACCATTCTCACACCCATCCTTGTGTGAGAGCAGCTACAGCCTATGATTACCAGTCATCGTGTACATATTGCAGCCATCCAATGGGGGTATCACCGGGGTCTGCTCTTATCAGCCTAGGTGATACCCCCCCAGGAGTGTTTCACTATTATGCCTCTAGTGCCAGCGGCGTGTCTGGAGTGTATTTTTTGGCTGTGACAGACCTTTCTTTGTTTCGTGGGTGTTTTGCTTGCTTGTGATGGGGTGTGAACCGACAGTCTGTAGAGTTTTCCATCTGGTGTGGGTGAGTGATAGTTGCTTTGACTTTAGCCACAGGTACCTTGAGGGCAGTGGTTGGTGCCCACCTCAGGGTATCAGCTGTCGGGCAGTCGTTGATGCTTAACCACAGCCGGGGTTAAGGTGGATTATCACTTACAGTGTAATTGGTTGGGGGATTCTGCAGACTGTCGAGGGTTCAGCCTCCTGATGAGTCAGTGAAACTCCGACGAAACAGTTTGCCACAGACCCTCGTTGTTGTCCTCTTTTCCCTCTCTGCCTACGGTTTACCGGGCAGCTCTGTTTGACTATATATATATACATATATATATATATATATCGTCACATATATATCGTCACAAACAGAACTGCCCGGTAAACCGTAGGCAGAGAGAGAGAAGAGGACAACAAACGAGGGCAGCTCTGTTTGACTATATATATATATGGTCTCCGAGCAAACGCTTGCCAAGGTGAAACTCGAAAGTCAATAGACTCAATACATGTATTGGCATGAAGTTTGCAGGATAGTATCATGTGTTTACGCAACTGCTGCTCTGTGCTCCAATACGAGTTTAAGCTCTGCAAGCGTCCATGCAATTGCCGTGTCATGGAATGAGGAACAACATGCGTGGGGTTGTCTGTGACCGTCCTCCTGAAGGCTGCTGAAATACATCTTGATTCTTGAGCCCTCAAGGCGTAGATACCTCTCCCTATCCACGATATGGGGAATGGGGGCATGCTCGTGTCCATAGTCCAAACCAATGGGCAAAACAAATCCACAATATGCCCGGTGTCTGACGGTCAGGGATCCTTCAGCCCTGACGAAAGGACGGTTTGAGTGGGACTATCAGATACTTTGAATTCAAATTGCCGGCAAGGAAAAAAAAGAAAAAAAAAGGGAAAGGAACTGGAATCCAATCTGCGTCAATTCTTTTTTTACCAATCTCGCTAATCAAGTCCCACCTCCTCCTCCTCCTCCTCCTCCTCCTCCTCCTCCTCCTCCTCCTCCGGCTCCCCCTGCTCATCCCGCTTCTTCCTCCTTTCCCCCCCCCCCACCTCCTCCTCCACCGAACCGCAGAAAGAAACGACCTCTGAATGGGGAACCTTCCACGTCCAAGGGAAAAGAAGACGAGAGCAAGATTCCGGCTGGCAATTGATTCTCCGCACGCTTGGCTGACATGTTAGCATCCGTAGCAGGGAACAGTCGCCCGATGGAGGATATTGATGAGCCCTTGGGTTTTGATCGTGTCATCTCAGGGAAGAAGCTGGAAGAAGGCGGCGGTAGCATCCGCAGGCAAGGAAGGAAGGGTGAAATATGTGGAAGATCTCAAGAAGCAACTCTTGACTAAGTCAAGTATCAGTTGGAGTCGCTATGCCAGGCAGATAAGATTAAATATTATAGCAAAAAAGCAAGCATCTGCTGATCTCGACGAGCTTCGTGCCAAGGATGCTTATTGAGAAGAAGATGAGGTTACCGGTCTGGACAGCATCGAGACGGAGGAGCAACAGGAAAATCCTTCCTTGCTCTCATGAATTGGTAGACCTTTGTATGACAGAACGGTATGGACTTAGCGGAATGGATGATCCTCCTAGCGGCTGTATGGTAGTCTCTCAGGCATGCTGATGCGTTGGAACGAGTATATAATATATATAGGATGGTTGCTTCATCTTTCGCACGCGCTTCTCAACAGTCCCCTGATGATTCAGTCACTGGCGGACGGATGAAACGCAGCGTAGGGACACGCCAGCATGGCACGGATTTTTGTTTTCATCGAATATTTCAGTGCCTGATTACTTTTTGCGTGTAACTCTTGTGGCTTTTTGTGTATGGACCTTCTCTTTCTCTTGCAGATGGTTCCAGTTTTACTTTACCCTTTTGGGTGTGACCCGTACCTCTCGCTTCATTGACGCCCATGTGGCCTTCATGCTTGCACGTCTTTCCCATCTGATGCTGCCCACGATGAACAGAGCCAGGGCCATAACAACCTTTTTTTTTTTTTAAACCCAAGTTCAATGGGATTGGGGTGGTGGATCAGGTAGGTACTTTGAAATTGAGCTTAATAAAGGAGGCCTTATTTTGTTTGACACTTACCCCTGCTCTCCTATCTTTGCACTCTACTGTATGTGCGTCCACAAACCGGCCATACGCATGGATGTAGTCAATCTTGGCATCCCTTAAGGCAATTTTATAGCCCAAGTTGAGCGAGTTAATGTAGTCCTGGACCATCATCACCAGCTTGTTCCTGCAAATTCTCAACAGGACATCCACCGCCACAAAACAGACCATCAGGTTTCCTATACCGCCATAGTTCCCATCTGCCAGCAAGGTTGACCAGCTCTTTTTTTTTTTTTTTTTTTTT